CCGGCCCCGCTGCATCTCCCCGGCCATCTCGCCCCCACCAGAGCCGATGGGTGGCAGCAGCTCTAGGAGCCTCAGGGATCTTTTGACAGTTGATGATACCTGTGTCCTGTGGCACATTTTAAAGCCCTGCTCCCTCACCGTGCAGCACAAATCCTGCCCGCTTGACTCATGCCAACACCCTGCTCGCTCAATACCACCGCTTTGCTACGACTCTGGCTGCCTCGCCCATTGAGATTGTAACTCTCCAGAGTACTGTGTGTCCCTAGCAAGCACAATCGGGCCTCCGGCTGGGGTGGCCTTGCTGTGTTGTAACACTCCAGAGGCGCATCATCACCCTCTGCCAGAATTGTAATTGCTAAATGGGATGTGCCCCTCATGCCCTTTCCCTGTTCATCTGGGTGGCCTTCCTGCACCCTCTCCGTGTTCTTTTGCATGGCCCTGAGTGTTCCCTGTAAGCTTTGCCTATGTGCAATCACTTTTCCCTCCAATCCCAAGAGCTAGGCATTTAGTTTTGTATTTAAAAACTGAGATTCTTATATAGGCTACGTCTAGACTGCAGGCTTCTTTTGGAAGAAGCTTTTCCAGAAGAGATCTGAAAAAACTACTTTGGAAAGACTGCGTCCACACAGCAAAAGCATACTGAAAAAGCATCTGCTTTTGAAAGATAGAGTCCACACTGAATGGACCCTATATCACATTTAAGCTGTGATTACTATAGATGGAGTGGCCACCAGGGCACCTGTGGTTTTTCCTCTTTCCTCTTCTTTTGAAAAAACTCCCTCTTCCCTATCCACACATGCCTTTGGCTTCTTCCTCCTAGAAAGAGGTTTACCAATGTTGGAAAACCTCCTCTGTTCTTTCTATTTTTTTGTCAAAAGAATGCGATTTCAGTGTGGACACAAGTGAAATTATTTTGGAAAAACGGCTGTTTTTCTGGAAAAAACTCTGTAGTGTAGACATAGCCATAATTACCTCTAGGAAGCTCAAAATATTGTGAGACTACTGAAAAAGTATTTGTGGACTTAGATCACACTGATTTTATATTGTTAAAATACAGAGTAAAGGTTTCTGACAAAGGATAAATTCTCAGTTATGAAAATTAATCAGAGGAGGGAATGAACATTCATCCTTAGCATTCAGTTGTTGTCTATACACAGTTCTAATGAGTTCTAATTATGTGCAAGTTTAGACACTATGACAGGACAAGGTTAAATTTTGGAGGTGCCTGAACTTTTTATGTATCTTCATATGTTTAGGTTTATTTTTAAGTTTTAACTGAATTTCGTAGGTATATAATGCCTGGCTTTTGGATAATTACATTATCCCTAAAATATAGTTTACCTCACATTTTTATTGATATTTCAGTCTTAAGTCCATTGTAAAATAGCTTTTTGTCAGGGAATTTCCTTGTTTTTTAATTAAAAATGTCATACATGGACTCTAAGCCAGAAACTCAGAGTATGTTGCCATGTAATATATGTTTCTAATCATTTGAAGATATGTAGTTGCTTTGTTTTGCCAGCACAGTGCAAAACAACTAAAAATGAACACAAAATATTTTCTTCTTCATGCCAAACAAAATTTCCCCTCCCACTTGTTCACACAAGGAACTTATTTTTCCCTTATTTCCTGGACTATTTGTTCAATAGATCTGGAGCAGTGGGTTCCTATCTTTTCAGAAGTTAGGATTAAAAGTCATTTTTATTATTTTTTGTAATCAAAAGTTTATCTGGGAGTATTGTCCTCTGTTAAAATGGCTGTCATCTCCCATTGATCTCTATCATCCTGAAGCCACAGCAGCCATCAGGAAAGATGGAGACTTCTTGTGCTTTGTGGAGGCAGACACAAACCCATTGATAACAGAGAGAGAGAGAGAGTGTTCAGTGGCTTTGCTTCTTTTGAGAACAGAGGGAAATTGGAATAGTTTTGAAAAAAGACAGTTGTGTGGAATTATCTGTAGTAGATCTTTGTATTTTTCAAAAGCTTTCAGTTGTGAAGAGTGGGGAAACATGAACTTCTAATTCTAAAAAAATTAAAATGTGTAGCATGCACAACATTTCAGTGAGCTTTTAATTATAACAGGAATTTAAAAGATTTTATGGTGATTATTAGGGACTCGAAGTCTGGTGTTGGGAGCTAGATCTCTTACATTGCTTAAATTTTTCAGTTTTATTTATTTTTAATTGTTACACTAATCAAGTCTATTTGTAAATTCTTTGAAAATTATTTCTTACTGAAAGATTAAGTGCAGTAATATTGGGGAAGAACCATTGTTGCTGTATTCATGCATAACAAAAAGACTGACTCCTTTGTTTTAAGTGGGAAACTGCCTTAATTACAGTGTCTGTACTGATGTCTGCATGGTAGAAAATACATATAGGAAACCTGGAGATTTACTGTTTCTAGGGAGATGTCAGCAGAATTATTTTTATTTCAGTAGGGTACCATGATTGACAGGATGAGCTCAATGGATGTTCTGCGTCCAGCACTAATAAGGATTGGCGGGCGCATTTATAGGAAAAATATTATTCAACAACAGACCTATCCAAATGAAGAAGAGGATGATTTCTATGCAGGTAAGAGCTAATATGTGGGGGCCAGTCTTGTATTAATATATTGCAAAGTGGGAAATCAACATTCAGGACTCACAGGGAGTTAGCAAATTCAGTCTCAGAACCTGTGGTAAGCTTCTTGTGGGATAAAAGGATCTGTCCTTATTTCAGGACTGTTGGCATAGTCTTTGGAGTGAAGAAATTCTTCATTGTTCTCTAGGAATCTTGGCCAAGAAGCAGAGTAATTTCTGGTTACAATATGCTTGTTGAGAAGATTGTGAAATTGACTTGCTGGCTAACAGTTAATTTGTTGACTGAAATAGTAAAACAGACATCAGTTGTAAAAAGTCTTTTATGTAAAATGATCAGTAAAAACATTAAGACTTTGTAGAGAATATTTTTCCTGTTTGTGCATTTCCTTGGTATTTTCCACAGTGAGTTTAATCTCAGAATTAATAGGACTTAGTCATTTACCACCTCCCTAGAAGTGCTTAGGACTTTTCGATGTTGGCCCTTAAATGGGTGTCACTTGTGACTACTTACTGTGGGTTTTGAAAGGTATCACCTGCCTACATGACTAACTGTTCCTTTTCTAATTTGATATTTTCACCTGTATGTGTACCATATTCGGTGATGTTTGCATGGGTCCTTGTAAATATAGAAAAGCTCAAGAATATCTGATAAACATCTGACACTTGTTGCATGTAGAAAAGATTGAAAGAACTGGGCAAATATGTTTTTTGCCACCCAAACCCATCCCTGTTCACATTAGGGATGTAAGCGAGTATTGAGGTATCTACTTGCTCCCCCCCTTGCTGCCTCTATACCTTGGTGCTGCCTGCCCCACTCCCCCTGCTGCTGCCTCTATCAGAGGTGGCAGCAATGCGGGAGGGGGATGGGAAGCTGATGGCACAGCTGGACCTGGCGCAAGCTGGGACTTAGCAAGCCTGGCTCAGTCCCAGCTCGCACCGCTCCAGGAGCTACCCTTGTGGAAGCTCTGCTTTTTAAATGAAGTAAGAGCTGGGCTGCTTGCATGCCCAGCTCCTATTACAATTAAGCTGCAGTGGGGATAGCTCCTGATCCAGGACTGAGCTGGCCTTGCTCAGTTCCGGCTTGCGCTGGGTCAAGGAGCTACCCTCACTGGGCCTCTGCAGTTTAAATGTAGTTGGAACTGGACTGCCTGTGCAGCTGGCTCCTACTACAATTAAACTGCAGAGCTGCAGTGGAGGTAGCTCTTGGATCCAAGGTTAGCTGGGACTGAGCAAACCTTCCCTGATCGACTAATCATGTAATCAATAAAAATTTTATCGACTACACGATTAGTGAATTACTTTCCTCTTAACATCCTTAATCCACATTGAGCTAACCAAGTTTGGTTGAAAAAACAATTACTAAATTGTCCAATGGCTAGAGGTGGATCTTTATTTCCTCAGATGCTTCGTTCTCTCTGAAAAGGTCTGTGGGTAACCACTCAGGCAGAATAATTATTTAAAAATTTCCTGGTGGGTCATTGGGCTGTCTTGTAAATTGCAGCCTATAGCAAGCTAAAAGTGCTATTTTTTCAACCCCCAAAAAATTAAGATTTAACGTTAGTGTCATGATGTTTTTCTGAGCAGGTAGTAAAGTAAAATAAAAGCCAATTCTTGGCTGAGGTAGAAGGAGCTAGTTCTGTTTTTATTTAACCTTGTGAGAAGAAAGCCAGTGAGAATGTTGCATCACATAAAACACTTTTCAGAGTGGTTTGATTTTCTACATTGTAGACTCTGGGGATCCTACAGATGAGCCCTGTGATACCTTCCTTGTGGAAGAGACTGAGAGAGGTTTCCAGTGTGCAGTGGAGGTTCCCAGTCCACTATACAAGTGAGTCTACATATTGTTTTATTTTAATCCTCTTTTTCAGAAGAATGTATTTGGGAGGTGGGATTCTCAGAGGCAGCTATAGATTCTATCTCTCTCAAATACTTTCCCCTTTGTGGAGAGCTCTGTGTTGGGGGGAGAGAAGAGGTGTAGATCCCATTCCAATGAATCTGTTGCACATTCGGCACTGGTCTCTCACTTCGATGGCAACTGCATCCTATGTGCTTTTTTGCTGATAGCAATTTTTTGAGCATCTGCTCTTCAGGATATCAAGGCAAACAAGGAAGATGGAAAACTGTGGGAAGAAACTGGGCTAAGCAGCCAGGCCAGGGGAAGCTGTGAATGCTCTGTGAGAAGGCAAACTCAAGATGTGTGTGCTGCTAACTTAATATCTGAATTGAAATAATGTAATACTCACTTAGAGTATGTCCATACTTTGAGCTAGCATGATGAAAATGGAGTGTAGGCACAATATGTGAACAGTGAGAGGGGTTGAATGATATGGTAGTTTCAGAGGAACTCCCCTGCAAGAATCTCCTCTTCCACCCCCCAACACTCAAAGAAAGAAAAGAATAAAGCAACAAAACCTTTCCCAGAAAAAGAAAATCGTGACTTTTGTGCATAATATTTTTCTTTATAGGTATATAATTGGAAAAAAAGGAGAAACCAGGAAGAGACTGGAAACAGAGACTCGAACTTCCATCAGCATTCCCAAACCTGGAATAGAAGGACAAATTGGTAAGTTTTAATGTGCCCAAGATGAACGTACTGGTCTCCCCTCCCCCCCCCTTTTTTATAAGAACTGTGAATTAGGAAACTGCTTTTCTATTTTCAGCTCAGACTCTGGAACCTTGTTTAATTCACTTAACTTCTCTCTTCTTTTCTCTTTCTGTCTGACCTCTGTAAAGTGCTTTAACACCTGTTGATTAAAAGTTTTATTTAAGATCTTAATCCCACTTACATTTAAGCATTTTAATGAATGTAAACTGGTGAGGAGTGCCATTTAAGTCAAATGTAGGAATAGTCTAAAATTAAGTACTGTATATGTGTCACTGTCTGCAGGGTTTAAAGTGTAAGTACTTTAATAATTATTTTTATATTAATAGGGAGGCATACATACATACAAAGTCATCTTCTCTCATTGTGTATGTGAAATAAACTTTCTTTAAATGCACTTTAGGTCATTATAAAGCAGTCTTATTTTTTTTTAAGTAGAGGTTTTCTAATAACATTTGCATTTTTGTTCTCGTTTCTAGAATTTCACAGTAATGTATACTCCTGTTACACTAGGTTTTATAAGATCAAAGATTATCATAGTGCTCATAACATGGTGCACTTTGTGGCTTCAGAAAAGGAATGGAACATGTGAAGTAGAATGGGTGTAGCATGTTATGGGCATTTTGATAGTATAGTGCCTGATGTCATAGTAATATACAAAAATGATAAAGTTTTTCATAGTATTTAAAATTCCCTGCTGGTCAGTACTGTTGAGAAGTTCTAGACCAGAGGTTTCTCAGTCAGTGGGTTGTGAGCATCTGGGAGGTCATGAAAAGCCATCAGGAGAATTGTGAGGCTGCGAAAAATTCCCTATTTCCACACGCCATTTTCTTTCAAGGTCATATACTCTCTTTCAACCTGTCAAATCACATACAAATGGTAGATAACTACAGTTATTATAAGGGATAAGTTTTTTACTCTCTGTTTTAATAAATATAAAGGTGTCATACAACTGTTTGATTTCAAATAAAGGGTTGTGAATGTTTCTCAACTTTTCAGGTTATGTAGACATTTCAAGAGCAACCGGACTGAGAGAATCTTTCCCTTTGTTGGCCTCACAGACCAATTAATACTTTAGGGACTAGGGATGTAAATGGTTAACTGTTCAACTGGTAGGGGTTGGAGCATCTCTCTACCCATACTGGGCAGGGCATTGCTCCAACCCTGCTGGGCCCACTGCAGGTAAGGGCTGCTTTGGCCGTCTGGAGCAGCCTCTGTCTGTGGCAAGCCCAGCCTAGCTCTGCCACTGCAGGTTACATACTGGATTTCCAGGAATGAGGCTGACAGGAGCTGCTGACCCCGCTCCCAGGGAGGCTTCACTGCGGGCTCTGAAGTTTAAAGTTTATATAAACTTTATACGGGTTGAACCTCCAAAATCCAGCACTCTCTAGTCCGGCAACATCCATGGCCCATGCTCCTGAACAAGAGAGCCCAGGAGCCTAAGGGCAGGAGGGCCAGCCAGGTGGGGCATTAGGGTTGGAAGCCCAGCTGGGGGCAGCGTGGGACTGGGTCCAGAGCCCCGGAGCAGCTTCCAGCAGACCTGTGGCAGTGCAGGGCTGAGGCTGGAGCCCTGTGTCAGAGGGGGCTGGGGCTAGAGCCCTGTGGCAGCACAGGACTAGAGACCCTACAGCAACCCCACGGCTACTATAAGGTGGGTGCATAACTGGCTGGATAACCATTCTCAGAGAGTAGTTATTAACGATTCACAATCCTGCTAGAAAGGTATAACAAGTAGTGTTCCGCAGGGGTCTGCTTTGGGACCAGTTCTGTTTAATATTTTCAATAACAATTTAAATATTGGCATAGAGAGTACACTTATTAAGTTTGCAGATGATATGAAGCTGGGAGGGGTTACAACTTCTTTGGACGATAGGGTCATTAATTAAAAATGATCTGAACAAACTGGAAAAATGGTCTGAGGTAAATAGGATGAAGTTTAATAAGGACAAATGCAAAGTATTCCACTTACGGAATGGGAAGTGATGGTCTAGGAAGGAGTACTGCAGAAAGGGATCTACGGGTCATAGTGGACCACAAGCTAAATATGAATCAATAGTGTGACACTGCAAACATGATTCTGGGATGCATTAGCAGGTGTGTTGTGAGCAAGACACAAGAAGTCATTCTTCCACTCTACTCTTCACTGGTTAGGCCTCAGTTGGAGTATTGTGTCCAGTTCTGGGCACCGCATTTCAAGAAAGATGTGGAGAAATTGGAGAGGATCCAGAGAAGAGCAACAAGAATGATTAAAGGTCTAGAAAACATGACCTATGAAGGAAGACTGAAAGAATTGGGCTTGTTTAGTTTAGAAAAGAGAAGACTGAGAGGGGACATGATAGCGGGTTTTTTTAGGTACAGGCAGTCCCCGACTTACGCAGATCCGACTTATGTCAGATCCGCACTTACGAACGGGGCTTTTCTCGCCCCGGAGCTCACGGGCGGCGGGTCGCCACCCGTGTCCTCCGGGGCGAGAAAAGCTTCTCCCGGTCTTCCTGGTCTGCTGGGGGGGTCCAGCAAAGCCGCCGGACCCCCCCAGCAGACCAGGGACACAAGAGCAAAGCCCCAACCAGCAGACCAGGGAGACGGAGCAAAGCCGTGGAGGACTTGGGCGGTCCCGCCACCCCCGTCTCCCTGGTCTGCTGGGGGGGGGGGGGGGGGGGGGGGGGGGGGGACAGTAGAATCCCCGGGCCGGACTAACTCATGCTTTGTGGAGGGGAAGGGGGAACAGGGGCAGCGTCCCAAGATCTACATATGGCCGGGTCAGTCCCACTCCCTGCAGGCCGATTCATTCCTCCCCCCCTGCTCACCCACT